AATTGCATAACGTAAAACAAAAAAATATAAGTCTACGATCATCTTATATAATAATCTGATAACTCGTACGATCACCCAGGTCAAACACAGTTATGACCCGAACTCGTCCGAGTTAGATTAAATTTAGAACTCGAGTTGTTAAAATGCTAACCCGACTCGATATAAAACTCGGGTCGAGTTTATAACCCGGGTTTGATTCGACCGGCTCGGAGCACTATCCAAAACCTAGTTTAGTGATTGGAACCGGGTCGGGTACACCGAGTCAACTCGGATGGTTCGGATATCCGGGTTGTGATCATAGCCACCAGGATGAATGTGGGTGGGTCAACCCGTCGATTAGTTCACCATTGATTCATTCACTATGCCATGTGGAATCGACCCAACGAAATATGTGTTATACGGTTACGATTATGGCAAAAATCATGAATGAAATAATTATTAGTAATGGTGACGCGCATTAAGATCGAGGATACTTATTAAGTAACTAGTCATAACCTATCCTGCGACTTCGTTCATGGAAATCACGTTGGGTGTGCAAATTCTACGTTATTATTTACGAAACAAATATTAATATGAGTCTAACTGCAATAATTCAACCAATCACATAAGCATTCTGAATCCAGGTTTAACGGGTAAAATTCTTACCCGGGTGATCCGGGTTGCAGAACGGGTCTAGAAACACCATCTTTATCGAACACAAATTCAGGTCTTGCTGTAACGCCTAAGATATGTAGCCTGCATCGCGGGTTACTAAGTCCTAGTTCACACACGCAATGGCTACATATCTTAGGCGATCCTTACGTTACAGCAAGACCTGAATTTGTGATCGATAAAGATGATGTTTCTATGATTGTTGTAGAGGTCTGTACCATGTTTTGAAATCCTTCTTTTAACAGGAAAAAACAAAAACCTTATTAGTACGAAGAGTTATGGAGAAACACAATTGGCTGCTGAGATACTCGTGTGTGGTGATGAAAATATACGTCAAATTGAACGTCAAGCTTGTGTGATCGCGGATCAAACTATATTTGCTGTTCCACATATTTTACGGTTTACAAAACTGTAATCATAGTATATTGGAAGGAACTTGAATCCGGCTTACCAAAGGAAAATTCGATTGTGATTAAAAGATGGCCAGAGGGGATCGTCCAGAGGCTGGTCTTGACATTGCGGAACCAAAGGAAAGACGAGAAGTGCTAACAGCATTGTCCAAAATTCGCCAATTTCTTTTGCAATAGATAGTCAGTCGTAATAGCGTAATAGAGTTATTTTAACTGTGTTTGGGAGTATGGTGCATAACATCTAAAGTCATCAAATGTTTGTATTTTATAAACTTCTCTGCTAAGAAGTAAATACAAAATTTAATCCGTGAATATGCTCAGAAAGGGCCTATTCTAGCATATTCGCGGATTAAATTTTGTATTTACTTCTCAGCAAAGAAGTTTATAAAATACAAACATTTGATGACTTTAATGTTATGCACCATACGATTTAATAAAAATTGGCGTTATTTTTATTTCACGTGGTGGAGTCAAGTGTTTGTGATAATTCATTAATCTGTTAACCGAATTTGCTTTTCAGCAGGGATTTTGATTTTCATTATTAATTGTTTGTGGGAGGATAGGGATAAGTATAAGGGATGGCTTCTTTGATCTTTAGTTATGACATCTTACATAATCGCAAAAATTCCGAATTATCCGCTTCGCATATGTAATCTATAGAATAAGCTACGCTATGAACCAATTTCTCATCACATTATCGTTATGCTAATCGTTTATCTATTAATCTTCGGCACGTGTCTCATTAGTGCAGTATCATTTAAAATCTACTCCTATTTAATACCTGTAGTTCAATGATTATCATATAACATTGTATCAACGTACTCCCAACGACACCCACAGCATGAAGTCTTCAACATACTGAACTAATACCTTGACTTTTAATCCCAGTTATGAAAATATCCCGAAGAAATTAAAGAGTATTTTAAAAAGCTGTAGTATTGAAATGCAAAGCGAGTAACACAAATAACGATAACGATAAACATACCAATACCGATACCAATACACATTAGATTTTTCTCACGACCTAATACAATACTACAATACTGTTATCCGATTATTATTGTTAAAACGATGACTTCCAACTCTGAAAAATTTTTTTAACACACCTCATCTCTCCTTCGCTCTCGAAACCTTAACAGTGTCCAATACAAAATATGCTATCATTATCGAAACATATCCAAGCATTTCAAATGTTTTGATGAAAAGGGTTTTAAAGTTAAGTAGTATTTTTATTAAGATATTTATTAATGAGCCAATGATGATATGTTCTTCCCCCTCCTCTATTGTAAAGTATTCTCCTTCCATCTCCTATTATAAAGTACTCTCCTCCCCTTCCCTACTCTCCCCCCTTCCCTACTCTCCCCTATTCTACATTTTTGAATCTGGTTGTCGAACAGTCCTTAGTAGGGCCAGATACCGGTAGATGAACAAGTGCTTTGAATTTGATTGAATTTTATTTGATCAAGCCGTAGTAGTCCATACCCTAGTGTGTGTCGGGGGCCAGATACTTGGTTTTTGAAGAGGTAACTCAGTAGACCAACTGAAAGGGACTCATCAAAGGTCACTGAGTAGGAACCAGATTCAAAAATAATGCTTATTTTTTCTTTATTCACTCGTTTTCTTATTAACTCTGATTAAGCTATTTATTATTATTGAAAATTATATCGATATTATTAAAATTATATACATACTAATTAGCTTTATATATAGGTCTTATTAAAAATTACGTGGGATACTATGAAACAATACGCATTTACTGTTAGGTTCATATAATCCTCCATCGTATCGTTTTTTATATTTTTTCTGACCTTAGTTAATCAGATCCATTAACTGTCCATATAAATCTTGTTCTTTAAATATATACTTCAAGTCTACCGGCATCCTTGCTTTTCGGCCGTGCGTGAGGGAGAAGGGTTCGTGCTATATTTTGTGCTTCGGAGGCAATTAAAGCGGTAAGGGATGTGTACATCACATTCTTCTTTAAATCGATACAATATTTTTAAAGAACAGTGCAAATCGTTCGGTTAAGTTGTTCTTAGTCTACGGATGATAATTTATGTTGGATTCCCTATCTACTAGTTAAAACGGCTACTCGGTTCCTTGCTCGGATTGGATCTCCTTCGGGCATCCGATTTTACCTTCGTTTGGAACATACAAACTGACAGTTAACATTAGATATAAATTTTATAATTAATATGAAATGTAAGTATGATTTACGTTTAGAAACAAAAGTACCTGTATCATTCATAATTGAAATTAATTTGTAGTAAGGATTCGACTGGTATCGACTGGTATAAACTGAATTTTTTTGTTTTTGTATGTTTGTAAGAATGCTTTTTTTGCAATTTAATCTCCTCGTCAAGTTTACTTACTCTTGTCTTTCTATCCTTCAATATTTTCATGTGTTCTAGGATACGAGTAGATAAAAAGATCAAGTTCATCAGCAGTTTATCGGTTTTCTGGAATGGATCCCAACATTTTTCAATAATAAACTTGAACATTATTTGTAATATTATATCATGACTCTGCTTAGAATGATCGTTCTGGATCTTTAATAATTCCTCGACGCGTTTTCTTAACTCGGATTCGTTTAGAAGCCACTATCGACCTATTATACAATTCGCGCTAATTTTCTCCCATTGCTGTGATGTTAGTTCATTTAATAACTCGTTGGGGAATTCCTTCCTAAAAGCCAACCCTCGTACATAACGACACGCATCCCAAAACTAGAAATATCTGCAGCATGAATGTATTGCTTTCCATTTAGCACCTCTGGATCATGATAAGGAACTACTTCGCAAATCTTTTAGTCAGATTTTTCTCTATCTGCTGGTTTGGGAAGTCCAAAGTCAGCAATACAGTACGGATGTACACCCCAAATCTCAATATGGTTAGTACACATCCGGAATGTTTTTCTGTAATAAAAATTAATGTTAAAGGTTGGTTTTAAGGTTAGGGCTAGGGTTAGAGCTGAGGTCTAGTTTATATATGTAAAATAGTCTCACACATTTTTAATTAATGCTCCAGGCTAGATTTAAGCATCTGTTTCCTGTATATTTTCATTTTTGTCTTCTTTTGTCGGATTTGTTTTGCCGGATTGATCAAAAATTTACGACTAACCAAAATGGATGGGGACGTATATATATGCACGCCTAGGAACAGGGTGTGCGCAAATCCCTCTGTAAATTTTTACACAGAGCATAGATAATATAATATAAATGTACTTTTAGTTGGGATTGCATCACCCACTATCGCTATCGAAGATTCATTTGTACATTTAGATGGGGTTTTGGTTATTCCGTAATAATCGAATCGATTTCTATACATTTTAGAGCAGTCAGTCAGTATTAAAAACAAAAAAACATTACCTCATTTGTGAACTCTGATTTATTTTGCTTGAATTGTGTACATGTATTTATGAGCCACATGTAATCGTGCAATGATGCTTTATAAATTATGCCAAAACCTCCTTTTGCAAGATATTCAACATTGGCAAATCTTTCAAAAAGGGATCCATTCGAAAACAAACATTTAATTCTTTTATTAGACTGCCGATATCTTTATTTTCGCTAGGCAATACAGCTTTATAAGTATGTTCGTGATATTTTAAACTACCAGCATTTTTGACAGCGAGTGCATTCACTACAGTGAGAAGTGTTATAAGCTTTCTAAACAATCCTCATTTTTTGATAATGAGTACATTTACTGTAATCATGAGTATTCTCCAGACAGTTTGAGCTTCATTTTGTGAATATGATTTCGGTGATTATGTGTTTAAATTTTGAATTAATGATAAAATAAATGAGGTAATAATGAAATGACGCTACAACACGTACGTATTTGGCGTATTAAAAGATGACAAACGTGTACGATTGACGTATACCGATACTGTATTCATAGAAAAGAAGTGCTATTATTATTTAATTTCTATCGTGCGTTGAAAGAAGAGTCATGTCTTTCATTGTGTGTGCAAAGTCGATATTTTTATGTTAAAAGAAAAATGATACAGAATAAAAGAAGCATTTTATGAAATTCATCGTGCTATCAGCATAATCCTCTTTACTTGTGGGCATTACTGTATAAAGTTTAAAATCTCGTAATTTAATAATATTATATTGGTGCTTTAAACGGATATTATTTCTTTAAAGTTTAGCTTTTTTTATTAATCAAATAATAAAGATTCAATTTTTTTAACATATAACCAAAATATCGTACATACTAATTAAACAATGTAAATTAAACATAACGATAATACATGTAATAATGATAATACTCGTTATACAAGTTCAAAAATTACCACACGATGTCACTTTGATCGTGAAGTAGGTTAACTTAATTTGCGTTCACAATCGCAAATCAAAAACTTATAATCTATAATCTTATTATAAGCAAGAGAATTTTAGAAAAACGAACTGTTTAAACAAATAATATTAAAAAATAAGTGATATGGTACCTAACATCTAAAGTCACCAAACGTTTGTATTTAAAAAATATATAAACTTTTCAACTAAGAAGTAAATTCAAAATTTGATCATGAATAGGCCATATTCACGGGTTAAATTTTGTATTTACTTATTAGTTGAGAAGTTTATACAATTATAAAATATAAATGTTTGATGACTTTAGATGGTATACATGTACACCAAATTATTCTCATATTTCCTATGGTAGTGCCATGTACGTCTCAAATTTCAGATATATATACGTAAAATATAAAGTGTGTGCATTGACTTCTAGAATTTTTCTTACCCGAAATCTAATGTCTTTGAACTCCGCCTAAGACAATTTGCTTCGTCATATTTTTCGGCAGTATCGTCGATTACCGTTACACACAGAAAAAGGAATTTTCCAAAAGACTTGGCTTGACGATCGACGATCCATTTTGGTTAGGTTCCAATGTTACATTATGTCTTGGTTTTGTTCTCCGCTTGAATGCTAGTAATGAGCCAAGAAACTTGATAAGTTGAACGAATTCGATTCCTCACAGCCAAAAAAAACATTTCGTGTGTTTTTCGTTGCTGCTTTCATGATAGACGAAACACCAAATATTCAATTACTAATTTTTATACCTATCTGCGAAAATGCCTTGTTATTTCCTCGCGCGCGTTTATAGTGACAGTAGTAACTGTTGCAAATTTGTGATTATCGACACTTCGTAAATCCCGCATTTTATACAAATAAATGCATATTTCTGGAAATTATAGTCCAGAGATATATATATGAAACTAAAAGTCTCGCTTTATAAGCCTTGGCGCATATAAAATCTTAAAATTTCAATGATATATAATTATAAATAAAATATACAAATAAAAATTACAAATATAAATTACAAATTTTTTTATAAATAGCGGGTACTCAACTTCGTCAAAAACTCGATCAAGATAAATTTCAATAATTATTTATTAAATTTCTTTAAAAAATGAGATCAATTGCACCAAGTAAGAAAGGACACATAATGCCAGAAGTTAAAGTACGTTTCCCTCCAGAAATCACACCAATTAATCTCATCGAAACAGCTATCGCGAAACTAGAGACTAGCGGACAAACATCACGAATTCCCAATGGGTTTATTGCTTATCGCATGGCTTTTTACAAGGAACTTCACTCGATCAAACATCCCGTGATAACACACCCACAACTTTCGACGACATTGGTCAAACAATCATGGCTCAAAGAAGAGGAACACGTACGACGAGAATATCATCGCATCGCAAAAGAAGCCAAAGATTTATATATCCAAATTTGCCATGAACGAAGTCCACTTTTTGTTACAAATATGTTTTCAATTGATAACGAAGATTATTCTTCTTCTAATACGAAAAACAATTCGGACGCATTAGAATTTGTCTTTTCAAATTCGAGTAATTTGAGTGACTCTAATTTTAACCTTTTTAATAGCAACGAAATATCTTTATTACCATCATCTTCTTCACATGAAAAAAACACCACCGCATCCGCTACTCCAAATGTCACAAACATATTCAATACCGATAATCTAACACCAGAACAATTGATCTCTCAATGTTTATTTTCTTCCATTTTATCCATTTAATCAGACTTCCCTTCTGTTCCGAGTCTCAACAATACTATTGCTACTAACGTATAACAAGCGACATTAATTTTTCTTCAGCTGAGTATAAAAATCGGAGTATTAGAAAATCGCGTTATTGAGTTAGAATCACTGACAAAGTTGTTTTCAGATAGACTTGATTATAATATATTAATATAATTTAGTTATCATTTTTCTTTATCATTTATATAAGAATTTAATCATCTACCAAATTATTCTTCTATTCTATGTGTAAAACATATTTTCTGTAAATAGCTTTAAAAATCTAAAATAAATTCAATGATATTACCATTACCAATCAAAATATGCTTTAAAGAATATTATCTAGTTTAGACTTCTAGAACCATAAAATAGACATTCCTGAATTTTGATTTCTTATAAAATTTACTACCATTTTTGTTAAAACACACATTCAAATCCTAATACGTAATCTATTTGATATAATTTAAAAAAAAATTGTAAGCTGTTAACATATTAAAGTAATATCAAGACAGCCAAAAGCGTGCGCTTCAAATACGAGCTCTTCATCATAATAGATAGTTTATACTTTTGTTGAGATGTAGCAATGTATATTCGGTAAAAAGCTTTTACAATAGAAGTGGTGATTGTAAAGTTAGTACAGTAAATCAGATAGGCGCATGGATAGATACGTACGTAGTATGGAGTAGCGGAAAGAACCTCTCATTTATGGGTTAGGACTCGAGATGATTCCTCCCTTTAAACGTCCGCTATTCAATCATTTTATTAAATTCATTTTTAATCAATGAAAATTAATAAAGATTTTTGCCCACATCGGACTTCTGATTTTAACAATGTGTACAGCTCCAGGTCATCTAGTCCAGCAAATCCGAAGCTAGGGAGCCAACTTACAATTGTAAAATCATGTGATTATTCAGCCAGCATTACAAAATTAAGAATTAGGAATTACTGTTACATTTATAAACATAACGATAAACCATTTTTGGTCGTTGTGCAACTACATGTATGTATTGGATAATACATGTACATGTCCGTATTGTTGTATTATCGTTATCGTTATTGTCATCATCGTTATTGTCATCGTTATTGTTAAATAACGAGATATTAACTTTAACTTGCAAAATTAATTTTTATGTTCAATATTATCGTTACATATCGCTATGGATCATAAAACAGCACCAACAGATGAAGAAATAAAATATATTCAAGGTATCCTGAAATTATATGATGACGCAACTTACAAAGACTGGGACAGCCAAGTAATAACTACGATCAAACAACACATCTTAAATAGCCAAAAAATGGAAAAGGAAACTTTTCAACTGCTTCTGCTCGTATTTACAAATTCTGCATCGTCACCACCATCATCAATAACAAAAGCGCTTCAAGCAAGTCTACTCGGATTTTGCTATCACTATGGAATAGGAACACCAATTACACAAAAAAAAGCATTTGAATACTATAACATCGCTGGAGAATTAGGCGACGGATTTGCATTAACGCAAGTAGGAATGTGCTTTCGTACCCTTTGTGGAACTTCCTACAACGTTAATAAATGCGTAGAGTACTATGAAAAAGCAGCAAAATCTGGACATCCACAGGGCATGTATAAATATGCTATATATCAGAATGGAAAAACGGAAGCATTTTGGATACTAAAAGCAACGGAAAAAGGATTCCCGCCTATTTTATCTGAAGCCGCCGAGTTATATGAGAGGGGAAAGTATGTCAATAAAGATTTACATCGTGCTTTACGACTGAGTAACGGTAATGGTTATATTGGAATCCACCAGGGCGACCCCCGAAAGTTCGGGCCACGTGATAATTCTTTGATGACGTCAACGATGCGAAAAGGGTTAGGGTTTGGATCTGGGTCAAGGTTATTGGCAAACAAAAAATGAATATATAGTAAAATTTCGCAAGGAACATTTTTTATTAGAACACATTAGATAGTTTCATAGGTTAGATTTTGAGATACAAGCTTTTTTTCAAAAATATGTCTTTGTTTTGTTTATTTTTGAATTTTTGTGTTACAAGTTGATCTTGCAATTTAATTGGTCATCATCGCTGACATCATCAAAAAATTATCACGTGGCCCGAACTCTTGGGGGTCACCCTGGTGGATTCGTTATATTGTGTCTAAAATATTTCAAATATATAGATATTTAAAATAGTTCAAATTTCATCTCATTGCCACCACTTATTATATGATTTAGAAAACACAAGAAAATAATACCCTTTCACTCTAAGATAAAACTAAATCACAACAACAACATAGTAATGTTGACAATCAAATTATGTATTTAGAAACAGTAAATTCTATCAACAACATCATCATTACCATCTATAACATCGAAATATCGAATAAAACAAAGTTAGGATGGAAAATAAGAACTGCAACCCGGATTTTAGTTACAGGTTTATTTATAACATTTCCGGGATGCGATATCTCGTGATCCACAATTTATATAGACGAAAAAATACACCATTCGATCCTCTAGTCTTGGCGAATCGAATAACGGTATTTTCATCCGGATTGAACCTGTGGATCACGAGATATCGCGTCCCAAAGTTACTGGAACAATTTTACAAAAACGGTAATTCATAAAATATATTTCAAAGTTGCTGATTTTTTGAAAAAAAAACTTATTTTAATTTGGAACACTTAATTTGAAGCATGACCTACCAGGCAAATTTTCACCAAAATTCAGCCATTATTCCACTAAATCTCAATATATATGTGGCTTTATTTTTATCCAATTTGGTTATGTGAGTCATGAAATATTATTCCGTTTTTAAAAAACGAAAATTTCTCCGGTAACTTTGGGAGATTATATCTCACGATTCACACATCCAATTTGATCATTCGATTTGTCAAGTTTTGGTGAATCGAATGGTGTATTTTTGTCCGGATTAGGTTGGTGAATCGTGAGATATCATCTCCCAATTTACAAATAATGTTTTTATTTTCCGTTTTTATCAGATTTTAATCCGGAAATTTTATAACTAGTCTAGAAATTATTTCGTCGATATTCTTTTACATAATAAACACCGATTTCGAATACCTGTGGTTTTTTTGTGAACCATCTGGAGGAATGCCAGATTTTTTTCCTGGTGGTTTTGTTGAGATTTATGTAGTTTTCTCCCGAATTCAATGAATTATTAGAAATTTACTAGGAAACCACACCACTTGGAATCCAAAGGTTCACCCAATCCCTTGCTGATCTGCAATAAGTGTGCTCTCATTTCAATTTGTTCATTGTGGAGAAATTGCATATAGATAATTTTTATGACAAGCATATACAGGTATAAATTGAATTTTATTGATACTCGAATATCTTTGCTTCCTTAAAGTGTTAAATGCAATAACTGCATTAATTGTGTTTTAAGATCTTAAACCAGTTACATGTATATTTTCAATCCATTGTTTAATGTGATTTTTCAGTCTGGCTTTAACACATCGTTTTTAATTATCTCTTTATCCATAATCCCACCCATAATTAAAACAAGAAATTTGATTTTCTGAAATTACAGTTTCTAGTCATGGTGACGACGATGTTGCTGATTTAACGTTAGACTATTATAGTTAAAATGGCTTCGAATATATTATACAATATTTTGCATAATTGCACGATGAATGTTAAAATGCTTTTATTGCATCTTCTAAACTGAGATCATTATATTTGATAGCATGACACACAGAAGATTTGAAGCGTCTTCTGATGGACGGGATTTGTAAGTTTATGAGGTCTACTACCTGTAGTATTAAAAAATTTTATTATAAACATATGCACAGAATTTCCTAAATTAATACCATCATAAATTTAATAGTTACCCGTAAAAGTATCCAAAGCTTTCAAAATAAAAAGATATTTTTTTAGTTTAAATTGCATAACGAACCCTAATTCTAGTTCACAGTATAGTTTCAAAACATGGCTTTTTATATTACTGACAAATTTCATGACAAGTTTACTGGGATCGAAGAAAAGGAAAGGTATATTAATAATACCAATACTCTTATATTCAACCACACCACTTTTTCAGGGTGAAACATCAGATCCTCAGGTTGCTTGTATCTGGTCATATAATCAAGTTTGCTAAATAAATTTTTTAAATATTTAGTGAAAAGTATTAATGCAACTTAAAGAATCACAATTTAATGTAATATAATATGAAA